ATGGAGACAGAGGGCTTCCTTTTATTTCATTGGTTGAGTGTTTCTGACTCTGTGCGTCAGTCATCACTGTTCAAGTCTGAAACTGTTGGTGTCAACACTTTGATCTGCTCAGAGACAAATAACGAGGAAAACAAACCCACGTTCAGATCAAAGCGTCACTCAGCATCTCCTGATGTCAGTTTTTAATGTGCTGCAAAGATTCTTCAGTCAAAGGTGAAACTACAGAGATGTGATGTGTTACAGGCCCCGCTAACTCCGTTAGAGCGGACGCCACAGTCTGGCTCCAACGCAATATTCAAACGCTGTCACTGACGGTGGCTCCCGTGTCATAGGCAGGGCAGGCGAGTGCTAAGGGCGCCGTCATCCATCAGGGGTCGCCACACATGATAGGACGAGAACAAAAATCAAACTGTTGATCTTTTACTGTTTTTAACTAAAAGTATTCTGCACAACAACACAACTACACAGCAACATGACGTGATGTGTTCAATGTCATCTGGTAAAATGAAGCTTCTGGTGAGAAACTTGAATAAATCAGCTGTTTGAAGGAGACGTGGGTCGATGTTTTCACAGCACTGTAAAACAGATATCAGAGATTACGATGGATCATATATAGAGTAAAAAGCTTCTGTCAAAGGTCGTTTCATAAATGTGTGTCATTAAATTTGTGCTATTCAAAGGTGGGATGAAGGACTTTGTTTTTTATAGTGTAGATTTCTGTGTTTCCCTGGAAACAAACAAAGAAGAAATATCAAACATCGGTATCAGCTGTTGGTCAAATTGTTTTTATAAACATTGGTATCAGTGTCGTCGCTGCATCTCACAATTGGTGCATCTGCAGTTTAGTTAGAAAGTTGAATCGTACATGTTATTATTATTTAACTTGCCTAGGACACACGACATGTGACCTTTCCTTCAGTTATGGTTTCCTTGTCTGCAGTGTCTGTCTGTCTGTCTGTGTGTGTGTGTGTGTGTGTGTGTGTGTGTGTGTGTGTGTGTGTTGGGGTGTATGCTGTGTGCAATCTTTGTGTTAATAGTGTGTGTGACTACATCAGTCTGATTGCATTGTTTTCTTTTGGACTGTTCAAACTGTGACTCGACGCAGCGTGATGCAGCACGCCATTTTGAGCTGAACTTTAGTCTGACGCCCTGTTTTTATTTTTATTCTGTCGCTTGCATTGAAATCAGGAGCAGCTGATTCATGAGGTTTAATGAGGAGTTACAGATATGATACCTCCTCATTTCACCACAGAAACCTAAAGAAGTGGGCATGTGGCTGGAGGGAGATCGACGGGAAGACGAATGTTTCTGCTAAGAATTGTGGGATGCTAACAGCTAGCTAGAGACGGTGGTGTGATGCAGTCTGGGATCTACAACAGAGAGATCTATAAGTTACCTGAGATAGTCTGTTTTCTCATTTGAGAAGGAATGACACTTTGTCTTTCTTTCTCTGTCGTCTGTTTAAAGTTCAGTCAGAACAGGAAGTGAGTGCACTTGCAGACAGCCTCACTGAGAAGACCTCGTTTAATGTGGAGTGAAGACGCACCGGTGCAACGTGAAAATGTTTTGTGAATACTGTTGATGTGTCTCTGCACACAGACTTGTTGTGTGTGAATGAGTTAACGAGCGTTTCAGTGAGTGTGAGATGAACCAGTTTAAAGTCAGAGTCAGTGGTTCGTAGAGACTCTGCTGAGGAGACTCGTCAGGTCTTAATGCTCTCAGCTGTTTTTCTTTCCTCCTTCAGACTCAGCAGCTAATAAACACATTTCCTCCGGTCTCAGCCCATTACACACTCTAATCACACACACACACACACACACACACATATACAGTCGTGAAAAAATTCGGACACCCTATGAAAGCCTGTGTGTTTTTGGACATATGGATATTTAATATCAATTCTAACAATACTGGGAGATTCAGGTAATATAACTAAACAATTAAAACTTAAGAAAAGATTTTTATAACTTTCTGTAAAATGTAATTTTAAAAAAATGCAATTTCTGGTGAGGAATAAATTAGGACACCCCCACATTTATTCCCACTTAAAATCACACACAGGTGTATCACATCAGGTGCACATGATTAGAACATCGTTACTCAGCATTTTGAGGGAGGCTTGCCCTTTTAAACCTCAGACATTTAGTTTGGTGTGCTCCAGACTGCTGAAGTGACAGTGAACACCATGGTGAGATCAAAAGAGCTGTCTGAGGCCTTCAGAAAGAAGATTGTAGCAGCTTATGAGTCTGGTAAGGGATTCAAAAAGATCTCAAAAGAATATGAAATCAGCCATTCCACCGTCCGGAAAATAGTCTACAAGTGGAGGACATTCAAAACAACTGCCACCAGGCCCAGGTCTGGCCGTCCAAGCAAGTTCACCCCGAGAGCAGACCGCAAGATGCTAAAAGAAGTCTCCAAAAACCCTAAAGTATCATCACGGGACCTACAGCAGGCTCTTGCTACTGTTGATGTGAAAGTGCATGCCTCTACAATCAGAAAGAGACTGCACAGGTTTAACTTTCATGGGAGGTGTGCAAGGAGGAAACCTTTGCTCTCTAAGAGAAACATGAAGGCCAGACTGAAGTTTGCCAGAGTGAACACAGACAAAGACCAGGACTTCTGCAATAATGTTCTTTGGACAGATGAGTCTAAAATTGAATTATTTGGACGTCAGAAGAGAGGACATGTTTGGCGTAAACCCAATACAGCATTCCAGGAATAGAACCTCATACCAACTGTGAAGCATGGAGGTGGAAGTGTCATGGTTTGGGGATGCTTTGCTGCAGCAGGACCTGGCCGGCTCACCATCATAGAATCCACCATGAATTCTGTCGTCTATCAGAGGGTGCGTGATGAACATGTGAGACCATCTGTAAAAAAATTAAAGCTGAAGCGGAACTGGACCCTGCAACATGACAATGACCCAAAACATACCAGTAAATCCACCAAGGACTGGCTGAAAACTAAGAAATGGAGAGTCCTGGAATGGCCTAGTCAAAGCCCAGATCTTAATCCCATTGAGATGCTGTGGGGTGACTTGAAACGGGCTGTACATGTAAGAACCCCCTCAAACATCTCACAGCTGAAAGAATTCTGCATTGAGGAGTGGGGCAAACTCTCCTCAGACCGATGTCGGAGACTGGTAGACGGCTACAAGAAGCGTCTCACTGAAGTTATTTCAGCCAAAGGGGGTAACACTAGCTATCAGGGGGTCGGGTGTCCTAACTTTTTCCTCAGTTAGAATATGTATTTTTATTGATATCTTTTGTTTAATGAGTAAAACAAGGTTAATTTTTGTTGTTTACCTGCAATTTAATCACTTTCTTTCCCAGAGATAAAGAAAAACAAGATCAGACATCGATATGTGAACATTTGTTATTAAAGAACTGAGTATTTAATGGGGTGTCCTAATTTTTTCACATGACTGTATATCGTCCCAGTGTCGTGATGAAAAGTGAAACTGACTGTGACATCCTGCAGAAATCCTTCAGTAAAGACATGACCCACAGATTTCCTGAGAAGGTGTCGATGTCTAACGCCGGGTTCAGACTCCATTACACGTTTGTCCGTCACTCTGTCAGATCAGACGACTGTGGACTCATAAAGTCTGTCTGTGACTTGGCTGACAGACATGTCAGACAACACGATGGTCCACCGCGACGTCTTTTACAACTGTAGTTTCGTAAAAAGTGTCACCAGATGGGCGGAGCTACATTTGTACTACGGCATGAAAACTGTACATGTCACTGAATCCTCCACAGGAAGTTCCTGCAAATGTTTCACAATAAAAGCCTTTTCATAAAATGAAGAGATTCTCTCAGCTGAAATGAAAAGGGGCTTTTAATTTGAAACAGAAACAGGAAGTGTCGAGTTTGATTAAACTAAAACCAGAATGATAAATGAAGGCGTGTGTTCGAGATGAAGCCGGTAGCCTCTGTGTTCCTTTTGGTCGAAGTGACGGCTGTGAAGTCGTGGAAGACCAAAAGAAAATCAAAAATGCGAGACTTTCTGTTGGGACGTCGTCTTTGTCGTCTACTGTGACACACTACACACATGACACGATGTAATACCGTGTACGAGACTTGTCGTCGTTCACAATCCATGCCGACACCGTACGACGGCGCGTGGGGCTGTAACCATGGTGATATATATGATATGTAACACACACTCTTTGTTGGTAACAATGAGAAGGCAGACGTTCCCGTGACGGTCCAGACACAGAGGTTTATTAACACGCAGGTGGAGACAGGAAGGAGACAGAGGCAGTGGGGGGGAGGGGGGGGCAGTGAATACAGTGAAGACAATAAAAACAGAAACATGTCCGCCCTGATTGTCTGTCAGTCCTGCTGTAGATTCACCTCTACAGATTCATTTCCACATTTATTGACTGAGTGAATAAAAAAAGAGCAATAAAAAGTTCACTGCCTCCAACTCAACAACACAACACTTCTTCTTCTGCAGCATAAATTATTTCAGCTGATGCTCTAATTCATTTATTTCCCTTTTGTTTTTCCTCGACTTCTGTACTGACTGATGATGACAGTAATCAGGTTCCAGAGGAGGAGGAGGAGGAGGAGGAAGGGGGATGGGAGTTCAAACCTTATCCTTTAAAACGGTTTCTATTTTTACTTGCTAAAAGCTCTTCTTCTTCTTCTCTTGCTCGTCTACTCTAAAACGTTTCACATTGTGACAGAGCGACACTACACACAAGTTGGTTTGGCTCTAATCAGCCGACTGAAAAAAAGCAAAATCTTAAAAGCTCTACAAAAAGATATTTTTTCTTTTCTCTACATCTCAGTAGGAGACAAGAAGGCATCCGCAGCAAATGTTTATTAAAGGTACAAGCCGTGCTTAAAGGGACAGCAGCGGTCCATGCTCGTCGTGTTGGCAGGAAAAGGTCCTTTCAACTTCGTCTCAAACAGTTTCCTCGCTCAGACTTTGAGGCAGCTCCTCCGCGACTTCACAATCTCTCTATTTTTGGTTTGTTTTAATTCTGACAGGTTCGTACTGTCCTCTCTCTCCTGTGTCCTCTCCGTCAACACCGTCCCGTCCCTGTCAGTCTGTCTCAGCCCGTCCCGTCACAGTGCGTTGGTTTATGGCTGTAGGACTCAGCGGCTTCCAGCTGGGCAAACTACAATATGTGTCTGTTTGATTAACAGTATTCAAAATCTGCAAATTGCACTTGTTCTGTTTCACCAGGCGACAGCAGAGAGTGGGATACTGGTCTGCTCAGGTGTGGTGCTGGGTGCAGTGGGAGGGGTTGTGGTGCTGGGTGCAGTGGGTGCAGTGGAAGGGGGTGTGGTGCTGGGTGCAGTGGGAGGGGGTGTGGTAGTGGGTGCAGTGGGAGGGGGTGTGGTAGTGGGTGCAGTGGGAGGGGGTCTGGGGGTAACGGAGAAGCAGAGGAGGAAGTGACAGGTGATGATGGTGCCAGTCTGTGTCTCTGTCTCTGTTAGTCCCGTTGCTATGGCAACATGATGGGAGTGTCTGAGAACATGGACATGATGGAGTCTGTCTCCCCCGCCCTCTGTTGAGACTGGTTGCGGTTTGAGTGCTGCTCTGCCTCTAGTAATAAACCCGGACCCAAATGTCCTGCCGGCCCCGCCCTGAGTCTGCCGTTCTGCTGCTCTCTGATTGGCTCCAGAAAGACCACATGCTTGTTGGTACTGACCTTGCGGCCCGGTCCCTCAGTGGTCGCCGGTGGGGTGGGGGTGAGGATGGAGGACTGGGCGCTGCCCGCCCCGGCCTCGTTCCCCTGGCTCGGGGTGGCGGTGGCTGTGGTCAGGACTTTAGGGCAGGGAGGGCAGCGGCAGGGCGTCAGGTACAGGTACATGAGGACCAGCACCAGGCTCACCACGCAGCCCAGCAGGGTGGTGAATCCGGTGTTGAACGACTCATGAGGCTCGTCGTGGTGTGGCAACACCGTCACGTTAACCTCCCGCGTCTCATTGCGCTGCTGCTGCTGGTCCAGAGACATGCACCAGTAGATCCCAGCATCCGCAGCTCGAGCCGCCACGATCTCCAGGCTGCCGTTGGTGAACATTTTCAATGACCCATTGTTTCCCGGCGGTGCCACGTACTCCTGATTGGGTGACACCCACAGAAAGGTCACATGATGTCCGGTGAGCGTGGTCACGCAGTGCAGCAGCACTGGACTCCCTGCCTTCACTGAAACACTGCTGTTCTGCTCTCTGAACGCCTGACTCATCGCAGTCAGGTTGCATTTCTCAAAGAAGCGGTCGTGCTGGAAGAAGCGTACGGTGCCTCTCTGGATCCCGTAGACCAGACAGGTGTACTCTTTTCTGAAGTCTGTCACAGAGGCAAAGTCTCTCTGTTCCCAGTGCCGGAACAGTCCGTACATGGAGCACTCACACACCAGGGAGTTGTTGTGAAGGTAGAGTCCTCTCTGCACTGAGATGGGTAAGTTTGATATGTCCTCCAGGGGCAGTTTGGGCAGGCGGTTGGAGGACAGGTCCAGCAGGGACAGGTGAGGGTGGCTGTGCTCTTGGATGGAGAAGAAGGGGAAGTCAGTGAGGCGGTTGTGACTGAGGTAGGCCTTGCGGAGGCTGCTCAGCCCAGCCAGAGCTCTGCTCTCCACACGGACAATACGGTTGTTGAACAGCAGCAATTCCTCCAATCCAGGCAATTCCAGGAAGTAGTGCTGCCCCAAAACACGAAGCTGATTGGACGACAGGTCCAGATGTCGGAGCAGAGTCCCGGAGGTGTTTCGAAACGCCCCCGGATGAATAGTGGTCAGCTGGTTGTGCGCTAACCGTAATGTCTCCAATCGGTAAAGTCCTTCAAAGCTGCCCCCGTCCAGCTGTACGATGCGGTTGTGGCTGAGATCCAGAGTGACGGTGGAGACGGGCATCTCTCTGGGGACCTGGTCCAGACTCAGGGCGGTGCAGCTGAGGATGTCTGAGGCACAGACACATCCGCCGGCCTGGGAGGAGCCCTGAGACAGGCAGATGGTGGCCTGGACACGGCTCAGCTGGGGGAGCTGGAGACAGACTAACAAGACAACGACAGACCACCATGATGGTGATGCTGCTGTAACCGCTGCTGCCACCACACCCTGCAGAAAACCAGTGCTCCCAGCAACATTCAGCATGATGCCACCAGCAGGCCGCGGGCACCAGATGTGTTTGTAGTGTGTACTCTATCACCCAGCTTTTGTCTCTGTTACTCCCTACACTCTGTAAATGTGTGTTTCACATCCTTCATGCTGTGGGATTCATCTCATTCAAACACAAACTACTGACAGACGAACACGTGAGACTCTGTCCACTTGTTTTTCATGTTTATCTGCTCCCAGTCTCTTTACGTTTGGAGCTGAAGCCTCCTGAGCTGCAGGCAGATACGTCAGTGTAAATGTTTAAAGCCTTCACTTCTGAGACAGAAACCTTCACAGTGTTTAAGCTACAGGGCACAAACACACTGTCACTGTGATGCACGCTTTCATTTCTGCCTCCCGCTTGCTCCGGCCTGATCGTTTATTTTGTGAAACCCAGTTAATGTGGAATGAGGCGACTGCATCTGCATCATCCACCTGCCAGCACGGCAGCCATCTGGAGAGGGCAAACAAAAAAAAAAAAAGAAAAAGAGGTGGCTACATAACAAAAAGGCACCAGCAGTCAGGTCCAGGTGTGTCGCTGCAAACAAACAAACTCCTTCTGCTCTATAATTTGTGCTCAGCAGGTGGAACCAAATCCAGCTCTGTCTCCAGCAGTGTTTAGACACAGATAATGGAGACGAACGATGAGTTCAGTCAGAGTTCAGAGGCTTTAAACTCATCCAGGTGTTGTGAAAAGTGGAGAGAAGAGCAGGTGCAGGAAGCTGTTCAAATATTCTCCTTTGTTATGTGTTTTATTCCGTCCAGAGAAAACATGGTGACAGCAGCAGCGGCGCACGGCGTTCAGCATGACTTCCTCTCACCTCTTGGAAATCCATTTAGCCCATAACTGCTCCTCCGTACCTCCAGCACACACAGATGTCCCCTCCTGATGACTTTGTCTCTGGGCCAGCCTCGTCCCAGCTTCATGTGGACATGGAACTCATTTTCCAGACGTAAACAGAGCAAACAGTCAAAGCTTCAACTTTCACTCAGTGGCTCCTCTCGTGATGCGCGAGCTTCGTCTTAGTTGTAGCATCTCTTTGATTTTGTGCCAAGTCAGGTTTTGTGAATCGCGGCCGCAGCTGTCTGCCGCCCACAGCTCGCCCTGAGTCTCTCATCAGATTCTCAAACAAGTCAGAATCCTGTCCACTTCACTTCACAGCTTTCACTCACTGCTCCGTTGCTCTGTGTCTCTGTCCTCCGGCTGATATGTGCAGAGCCCTTCCTCCTCCTCCTCCTCCTTCTTCTTTCCCCTCAGCAGTGGGAGGAGAGATTTTCATGCAGAAGAGAAATCTGTGAAACGTGCAGCTGTGAGCTCGTCTTCTTCCTCTTCTCCTTTGAGGCTCAGAGAAAGAAGGAAACACCTCTCAGACAGGAGAAGTTGTTCCTCTCCAGATGTGAGAGCGAGCCGCAGGTCGAGCTGCTTCCTGTCTGACTCTCAGCTCAGCTGTGAGCTGCGTCTGCCTCCTCTGGTGCTTTCCCAGCTCCTCCTCCTCTTCCTCTCCTCCTCTCTGGTTTATTCCTCCTCCTCCTCCCCCTTTCTCTCTCTCTCCCCTCAGCATCCTCCGCCCATCTCAGACCCTCCTCCTCCTCCTCCTCGTCTTCCTCCTATTCCTCCTCTTCCTCCTCCTCCTCCTCCTGTTCTCCTCCTTTTACTGCTCCGCTCGCTCTCTGTCTCTTCCTGTTTCTGTTTCAGGCCCACACACTTTGTTGTTTTCATCTCTGCCTCTCTGAAGCTTATGCTGCCACAGTGTGTGTCTGTATGAGTGTGTGTGTGAGTGTGTGGTGGGGGGGGGGTCTGGAATCTGATTGGCCAGAGAGAGATGCACATGAGAAAGACGTCTCCTCTGCAGACATTAGTGCTGTTTATTAAAATCTAAATGAATATAATTAATCAGAGCAAACAGACACGTGTCAGTGATCAGTGTCTCTACATGACTCTTTCATATTAACACTTGAGACACCTCGTTATTTCCACATCTGCTCGTCGGTCTGACTAAAGGTGCAGCACGTCATTTTTCACCTCCATATTCATGATGATAAGTCAGCTGCAGGTATGATGATGATGATGATGATGGCTGTACTCAAACATCATTCTTCTGTCATGTCAGCAGCATGTTAGCCACACGCTCATGTTCCCCAGAGGATGAATCCTCCTGACTATCCAAACATTTTTTTCCTCATGAAGGCACCGTGCAGTCAAACTGGTTTCATCACCAAACTGCAAAGATAGTAATAATAATGATAATAATAATATTTATATGGATTTATAGAGCACTTTTCTGGATACTCAAAGAGAACGACAATAGATAAATGAATAGATAGGGCAGTGCGGTGGTTCAGTGGTTAGCATTGTTGCCTCACAGCAAGAGAGTTCCTGGCTTGAGCCCCTCTGGTGGAGTTTACATGTTCTCCCTGTGTCAGTGTGGGTTTCCTCCAGGTGCTCTGACATGTTCTCCCTGTGTCAGCGTGGGTTTCCTCCAGGTGCTCTGACATGTTCTCCCTGTGTCAGTGTGGGTTTCCTCCAGGTGCTCTGACATGTTCTCCCTGTGTTAGCGTGGGTTTCCTCCAGGTGCTCTCACATGTTCTCCCCGTGTCAGTGTGGGTTTCCTCCAGGTGCTCTGACATGTTCTCCCTGTGTCAGCGTGGGTTTCCTCCAGGTGCTCTGACATGTTCTCCCTGTGTCAGCGTGGGTTTCCTCCAGGTGCTCTGACATGTTCTCCCTGTGTCAGCGTGGGTTTCCTCCAGGTGCTCTGACATGTTCTCCCTGTGTCAGCGTGGGTTTCCTCCAGGTGCTCTGACATGTTCTCCCTGTGTCAGCGTGGGTTTCCTCCAGGTGCTCTGACATGTTCTCCCTGTGTCAGCGTGGGTTTCCTCCAGGTGCTCTGACATGTTCTCCCTGTGTCAGCGTGGGTTTCCTCCAGGTGCTCTGACATGTTCTCCCTGTGTCAGCGTGGGTTTCCTCCAGGTGCTCTGACATGTTCTCCCTGTGTCAGCGTGGGTTTCCTCCAGGTGCTCTGACATGTTCTCCCTGTGTCAGCGTGGGTTTCCTCCAGGTGCTCTGACATGTTCTCCCTGTGTCAGCGTGGGTTTCCTCCAGGTGCTCTGACATGTTCTCCCTGTGTCAGCGTGGGTTTCCTCCAGGTGCTCTGACATGTTCTCCCTGTGTCAGCGTGGGTTTCCTCCAGGTGCTCTGACATGTTCTCCCTGTGTCAGCGTGGGTTTCCTCCAGGTGCTCTGACATGTTCTACCTGTGTCAGCGTGGGTTTCCTCCAGGTGCTCTGACATGTTCTACCTGTGTCAGCGTGGGTTTCCTCCAGGTGCTCTGACATGTTCTCCCTGTGTCAGCGTGGGTTTCCTCCAGGTGCTCTGACATGTTCTCCCTGTGTCAGCGTGGGTTTCCTCCAGGTGCTCTGACATGTTCTACCTGTGTCAGCGTGGGTTTCCTCCAGGTGCTCCGACATGTTCTACCTGTGTCAGTGTGGGTTTCCTCCAGGTGCTCTGACATGTTCTACCTGTGTCAGCGTGGGTTTCCTCCAGGTGCTCTGACATGTTCTCCCTGTGTCAGCGTGGGTTTCCTCCAGGTGCTCTGACATTTTTTTGCCTGTGTCAGAGCATTTAGATGTAGAACAGAAAAGGTCCCAGTATGGAGCCTTGGGGAACTCTGCATGTCATTTTTGTCCACTCAGATGTACCTATAGACACAAAGTAGTCCCTGTCCTTTAAGTAGGAATCAAACCAGGTTTAGTACTATGCCTTAAAGTCCTGCCCAGTTTCCCAGTCGGTGCAGTAATATGTTCCACCGTGTCAAATCCGGCACTGAGATCCAGAAATACTGATACTGAGATTCTGCTGCTGTCTGTGTTTGAGTGGATGTCAGTGAGACCTTAACGAGAGCCGTCTGTGGTGTCATCCAAAACCAGACTGGAGGACATCAAAACAGTTGTTTAATGGCTGAAGTTGCTGAGCTGGTGAAATACAGCTGTTTTGGCCTATAGTCGTTCATTAGTGACATATAAATTGTTCTTTTTTAGGAGTGGCTTCAGGGCCTGTGGGAAGACACCCGAGAAAATGGGTGTATTTACAATTCATAGAATTTCTGTAATCGTGAGAAATAGTCAGGAAAATATCTGAGATTCCAGAAATGGTTAAATATGTCTTTTTATTTAAGATCTCTTTGCAGTGCTGGCTGTTGTGAAAATGAAATTAAAGTAGATTTCAGTATCTTAAATTCATAAATGTTGCTTTCTAGGGTCTAAAGTAAATATTCATAACACAGAGGCTCTGTCTACAGATACTGTTTTTCCCCGAGTGTATAAATGTCTCAACGTGCCTTGTTTGCATAATTATTCAGTATAACCTTTATTTAACCTTTAGTTACGCAGTTAAAGGGACAGGACACAGATTTATCACAAGCAGGTGGAATTTACTTTAATTGAGTGTGTTTTTAAAAAGCTCTGGTAGTTGAGGAGTTTCCACCGAGTCCTGAGGGAAGTGTCTGTAGCCGCTGAATGTTTCACTGTGTTCACCAGCTGCTCTCGAACGGTGTCTGTCCGCTGGTTAACAGATCTGAGAGGAAGTGCAGAGTCGGGTCGCTGCGAGCAGCTTTAAGGTTCATCGCCGCAGAGGAAACTTTTTTTTGTTTTCATCACTTTGTATGTGAACTCTCCACTTCCTGTCAGTGTCAGGTTGGTTTCTTTTTTTAACCAAACATCACTCCACAAACAGGATGAAAGTAGAGACTTAAAGAAGAGAAACAGTCAGTCATGCCGTTTTTGTTTTTTCCTGCTGAAGTGCTGCAAAGATAGTTGATAGTAGAAACACCCTGCTGTTAAAAACAATACTCTACACCAGGGGTGTCAAACTTACGGCCCGGGGGACCAGAACTGGCCCGCCAAAGGGTCCAACCTGGCCCTCACACACCTAATATTGAAGTCAAACAGTGAGCAGATACTTCATGTAACATGCACCTCAGAGACCAGATCACAGCTCTGTGAAATAACAATGAATACTTCCTGTGCTCAGATTTAATATTAAACATTGGGCAAAACATTGTCAACAAGCAGCTGGAGTGCAAAAGAAATCTGTATCAGACCTCCTCTGTCTTAAAACTGTATCAGTGGAGCCCTGCTGCTGAGACACTAGGTTCGTTTGAGATGAGCCAGGCCTGCGCAGATTCGATCACCGGCGATCGGCGCACAATGCATGCCGGTTAGTTTTGTGTCCGACTTCATCCCGACTTGTTCTGACGTATCACAGAAGTGGACGGCGATAAAGCCGCGAGAGCGAGGCGGCCGCAGTTTTTAGAGCCAGGCGCTGCAGTTGCTCTCCACCGACTGCACCGCCTGGCTCTCACCTGATCTAACAGCTGATTGGTTCAGATGTCGACTCAACAAGATGACGTTTTAGATAAACTTTTCATTTTTGTTGAATTTTAGAGATTAAGATTGTATTTGTCTGATCTGAAGGTTTATTCTGTGAACAGAAAACATGATGTGTGACTGATGGTGAAAACAAACTGATATATGGGTCTGATCACTTTAATGAACTGACATCATTCCAGACAGGATGTTAGTGTGTCTGTGACTTCCTGTACGGACTGAAGGCTGCTGGAAACTGTCCGACTTCACTGCAGCTTTTTGTCACCGCCCCCCGCTGCAGCCGCCTGCTCTCGTCTACTTTCCAGGCAAGGCGCAGTTCATCTCCAACGAGCCTACTGACAAAACTTCAGGCTGGTGGGCGGAGTCATACAACCACAGGGTAGACTGGTGGGCGGGGTCATACAACCACAGGGTGGACTGGTGGGCGGGGTCATACAACCACAGGGTGGACTGGTGGGCGGAGTCATACAACCACAGGGTGGTGATTCTAGTTTATCAGTTATTTAAAGAACAAATAATTTTCAGTTCAGTGCTTTTCCTGATGTTTCAGATTCTTGTGGCGGTATGATTTCAGATATTGAGGCGAGTATCTGTAGTGTGAAGGAGTCACTGTCATCGTGTCTGAAAGCGTCCTCAGAGTCACTGGGAGTGATTTTCCTTCATAAGCAGGACTTTAATCTCTTTGGTTCAGAGCGAGTGTTGATCACTGACTGAACGTCAGGTGGGGTTAACATTAATGTGGTGATAGAGTTTGTCTTCTGTGACAGACGGTCATCCATCATGTGGTTAAACAGGAATACGTCTCTTGTCTTTACTCAGACGTTTCTCTGCAACTTGTTCAATTGTTCTTTTTTCTTTTTTTATAATTCATTCATGTCGGAGTGGTTTTCATTTTCTGCGTGTATAATGAGCCGTGTCAATCTAAACTCTTTGCCCTTTCATTGGTTTATAATTAAAGAGGGAACACAATGGACTCGTGTTGACTTGAAACACAGTCGGTGACATTTTGCAGCTCGTACGCTGTGACTCACTCGGCTCATCTTTACAATGAGATCTGTCACAAGATGTTCTCGTCGTCAGCGTGGAGCAGAGAGGAGAGGACAGGTGGAGCGGGGACACGTGTGAGGACAGGATGAAGGAGACGAGTCTCTTTGTGTGAAGTGTCATGGCTGCTGTAATGAAAAGGTCAGAGTAGATTTCACCTGAAAATGTCACCATGTCGGTCCCTCAGGATTCCTCCTGTGACGGACACAGATGACCTATCAGCAGAGAACGCCGCCGCTGTAAAAGTCACCGCTTTTATTCTTCACTTCAGTAATAACGGAGATTAAAACATTACAACGCAGACACTGCCTGAGAAGACGCAGAATGAAATAAGTGGATGTCCCCACAGTGTCTCATGACAGGGGACAGGACTGAGTGGACCAAGATGTTGAGTTTGTTCCCAGTGAAAAGTGAAAAGGCCGTTGTTGTTTCACAAAGACTTCTGATCCAGCCACACACACACACACACACACACACAGAAGTGTCAGAAAAAAAAGTGTAACACTGCCCTAAACAAACAAATCAATGCAGGGGTCAGACGAAAGAACTGGGCGGTCTGTGACGCTCATTTCATCACTGGTTAATAACGCGTGATTCATGTTACGGCGCTTAACATAAAAAAAAGACTGTCAAGCCGTGGTGTAAAATAAATACATAAAATAAAAAGAAAACAAACTACACTGTGTCAGACTGTAGTGTAAAGTAAATAAATAAAGTTATAAATAAAATAAAATAGAAAAATAGGCTGTGTCAAGCTATAGTGTAAAACATCATGAATCAATAAATTAATTAATATAAATTAAAATTAAAATAAACAGACTGTTTCAACCTGTAGTGTTAATAAGTAAATAGTGTATCAAGCTGTAGTGTGATAGATGAATGCATAAATAACCAAATAAATAAAAATGTAATAATAAATAATAATAATAATAAATAGATTATCAAGCTGCACTGTGAAATAAATAGATAAAAATAAAACAAAACAAAAAACAAACTGTATCGTGCCGTCGCCATCGAACCTCTAAGTGCAGCTGTCAGGTGAATGTAGGGGAGTGAAAAGTGGAATTTTGGGAGTCAGAGTATAAAGTCAGCAGAGACACGGAACATCCACCCACCGACCAAGACAGCAGTGCAGCACCTCCTGCAGCACCTCGTGCATCACAGCAGGTCGGCTCTGAGAAGAGTCCAGAAATAGAGAAGGAGAGAACAGAGTATCAGTGAGGAGAGGAGACAAAGAGGGTGAGTGGGAGTGGGAGTCAGGTCTGGTGGGAAGACCCGCTATAAAAGATTGATGCAGAGAGGTTGGATTGAGTGGTGCCGCAGGGGAGAGGAGGAGGAGGAGGAGGAGGAGGAGGAGGAGGAGGAGAGTTTGATTAATGAGAATGATTGAGCAGTGGATGGATGAGACACAACAAGCAGAGACAGACAGATGAGGAGAAGAAGAAGAAGAAGCGTTCAGGTGTGCATCATGTTGGAGGTTCAGTGTGAGTGTTGCTGTGAAGGTGTGAAAATAGAAAAAGAGGATTTCTTCGATTTCTTCCCAGAAAAACACGAGTGATGTGAGAAGTTGTTTTTGTTGCCCAGTGTGGACGGAGTCGTGCTGCTGATCGCTGCTGTCATGATGTTTACCTGCTGACAACATCACATCACAACTTCCTGTCTGATACATGTTTGTTTCTGTGTCACTGGTGGAACCTGATCTCGTTTCTCACCTCGAGTCACGTCACGTGTCATGAGGTCTCAGACAGGTCAGGTGTGAATGCATCCAAGAGGAGGACTGCAGGGATCTAATCAGGGCGCTTTGGACTGAGGTGGTAAAATGACCTCAGATTGTATACGGTCACTGTCAGAGTCGTTATAACGTCACATTTTATATGGTCACAGTCAGTGTCGTTATAACATCTCATTTTATATGGTCACAGTCAGTGTCGTTATAACATCTCATTTTATATGGTCACAGTCAGAGTCGTTGTAACGTCTATATGGTCACAATCAGTTGT